AGACAGACAGACAGACAGACAGACAGACAGACAGACAGACACACTTTCGCATTTATTATATTATTAAGGATTAAGGATTAAGGATTAAGGATTTTCTAAAGATGTGTTCATCATTTTCTTGAGAAACATCCAAATAATCATAATGAGAAGATAGTTTTGATTTCACCATGATGCGATAGCAGAAGGCAAAATAATAGTTAAAATCCCGTCTAAGCGTGGTGGTGCTATGACATCATTAAGAAGCAAGTCAAGTCACGTGACGCTGAGAGCCAATGAGAAGGGACGTAATTCTCCGCCATGTAGGATCCGTAAACATGCGTTTCAACTGGCCGTTTTTTGGATCTTTCATGGGTAACTTTCACATTTGTCGGTTTCTCGCCGTCCATATTGAAGCTCCGGTTCAGTTGGCTCTATGCCTTTTTCTATTTCGATATGGATAGGAAGCAAGTAGCTGCAATATGGTCTGTGATCATCGAAGACAGAATAGAAATCGTCTTAACCAGGTACACCCTATAAATCAAAGAAGGCTTGTATATAATCGCCTCACTTTTTGAAGAACTACGAGCGGTTGAAAATAATACGTTCTTCAATTATTTCCGAATGTCTGCAGCATCCTTTGATGAGCTCCACAATCGGTTGAAACATAGTATTCCGACGCAAAATAATTATTTAAAGAACTACATTTAGCCGTAAGTAATGTTACATGTGATTCTGAGGTAGCTAAAGCTTATTTTTCCAATGTTAATCGTTTCTGTTTCAAAACTTAAATCCGCACCCCTAAGGAGCTCTAAGGCGCGGCGTTCAGGTCGCAGTCTACTTTAGTGGACGTGGATTCGAATCCCACTTCTGACATGAATCTGAAATTTTGTTTTCCTTCTAAGTACTAGCCGTAGATAATCTTTCTCCAACTGCATTTAAAATAAACTTATCTACTTCGGGGCTCTAAAGGAAGTCAGGATGGCCGAGCTGTCTAAGTCGCTGCGTTAAGGTCGCAGTCCACTCTTGTGGCCATGGGTTCGAATCCCACTTCTAACAGGAATATGAAATTTTATTTTCCTTCTAATTTCTAGCCGTACATAATCTTACTCATACTCTGCATTTAAAATAAACTTATCTGTTTCTGGGCGCTACAAAAGTCAGAATAGCCGAGCGGTCTAGGGCGCTGCGTTCAGGTCGAAGTCCGCTCTTGTGAGCTAGGTTTCGAATCCCACTTCTGGCATGGACATAAAATTTTATTTTCATCCTAGCCGTACATAATCTTTCTGAAAGTCTCAATTTAAACTAAACTTATCAGATTTAGGTCTCCGCAAGAAGTCAGGATGGCCGAGCGGTCCAAGCCGCTGCGTAAAAGGCGAAGACAACTCTTGTGTGCGTGGGTTCGAATCTGACATGGATATGAAATTTTAATTTCCAGCAGTATAAAATCTTTTTCTGCATTTAATTCTGCATTTAAACTCTGCATTTAAAATAAAGTTCTCAGTCCGGCTCTCTAAAAGAAGTCAGTCCTTAAAATTTTATTATAGTTTTTAATACAATTTAATTACTTATCAGTTTCGGGACTCTACAAGAAGTCAGTCCTTAAAAAAATATTACAGCGCATTAGTCGAGCGATCTAAGGCGCTGCGTTCAGCACGCAGTCGTCTGACATGAATATGAAATTTTAATTTCTAGCCGTACATAAACTTTCTCAAACTGCATTTAAATTAAACTTATCTAATTCGGGGCTCTACAAGAAGTCATTATGGCCGAGCCGTCTAAGGTCGCAGACCACTCTTGTGGGAGATTGTTCAAAAACCTTTTCTGACATCGATCTTAAATATTATTTTCTAACTAGATACAAATAATCTTCCTCAGACTCTGCATTTAAAATTTACTTATCAGTTTCGGGACTTAGAAAAAAGAGAGGATGACGGAGCGGTCTAATGCGCTGCGTGCAGGTCACAGTCCACTCTTGCGGGCGTGGGTTCGAATCCCAATTCTGACATGAATATGAAATTTTATTTTCCTTCTAATTTCTAGCCGTACATAATCTTTCTCAAACTCTTAATTTAAAATAAACTTATCTGTTTCTGCACTCTGCAAGAAGTCAGAATGGCCGAGCGGTCTAAGGCGCTGCGTTCAGGTCGCAGTTCACCATTGTGGACCTGGGTTTGAATCCCCCTTCAACATTTAAAAAAAAATTTATTTTCATAATAGCCGTACATAATCATAAAGAAAGTCTGAATTTAAACTAAACTTATGAGTTTCTGGATTCTACAAGAGGACAGGATGGCCGAGCGGTAAACTCTTGTGGGTGATAGTTCGCGCGCGCGAATCCAACTTCTGACATGAATACAAAATATTATTTTCAATCTAGCCGCACATGATCTTTCTGTAAGTCTGAATTTTAAATAAACTTATTAGTTTCGGGGCTCTTCAAGAGTCAGGATGGCTGAGCAGACTAAGGCGCTGCTTTCAGGTCAATACATTTTCTTGTGGGCATAGGTTCGAATCTGATATGGATATGAAATTTCAATTTCTAACCGGGCATGAACTTTCTCAAACTGCATGTAAAATAAACTTATCTCCTTCGGGGCTCTGCAGGAATCCATTGTGGCTGAGCGGTATAAGGCGCTGCGTTAAGGTCTCAGTCCACTCTTAGGGCCGTGGGTTCGAATCCCACTTCTGACAAGAATATTAAATTTTTTTACCTTCTAATTTCTAGCCGTACATAATCTTTCTCAAACTCTGCATATAAAATAAACTTATATGTTACTGGATTCAGCAAGAAGTCAGGATGGCCGAGCGGTCTAAAGCGCTGCGTTCAGGTCGCAGTCCACTCTTGTGGGAGTGGGTTCGAATCCCACTTCTGACATTAAAGAAAAAATTTATTTTCATTCTAGTCGTACATAATCGTTCTAAAAATCTGAATTTAAACTACACTTATTAGTTTCGGGCCGCAGCATGAAGTTAGGATGGCCAAGCGGTCTAAGGCGCTGCGTTCAGGTCGCAGTCCACTTTCGTCCGCGTGGGTTCGAATCCCACTTCTGGCAGGAATATGAAATTTTATTTTCCTTCTAATTTCTAGCGGTACAAAATCTTTCTCACTCTGCATTTAAAATAAATTTATATGTTTCTAGATTGTACAAGAAGTCAGGTTGGCCGAGCGGTCTAAGGCGTTGCGTTCGGGTCGCAGTCCACTCTTGTGGGAGTGGGTTCGACTTCCACTTCTGACATTAAAAAAAAATTTATTTTCATTCTAGCCGTACGTAATCTTTCTTAAAGTCTGAATTTAAACTACACTTATGAGTTTCGGGCCGCAGCATGAAGTCAGGATGGCCGAGTGGTCTAAGGCGCTGCTTTCAGGTTGCAGTCCACTCTTGTGGCCGTGGGTTCGAATCCCACTTCTGACATTAGAACAAAATTTTATTTTTATTCGAGCCGTACATAATCTTTCTTAAAGTCTGAATTTAAACTACACTTATGAGGCTCTCGGGCCGCAGCAGATGAAGTCAGGATGGCGAGCTTCTACAGGCTGCGTTCAGGTCGCAGTCCACTCTCGTGGGCGGGGTTCTGGTCCCACTCCTAGACATGAATGTATTTTATTTTCCTTCTAATTCTAGCCCACATAAACTTTCTGAACTCTGCTTCTAAAATAAACTTATATTTGTCTGTGATCTCTACAAAAGTCAGGGAGTGGTCAAGTCACTGAGCGTACCAGGCGCTAGTCCACTCTTGGGCGTAGTAGGATTGAATCCACTCTGACATTAAAGAAAAAATGTTATCCTTTCATTCCACATAACTTCTCAAATCTGCATTTAAACTAACATTATATGTTTCTGGATGCTGCAACGAAGTCAGGATGGTCTTAGGCCTTCAAGGCTAGCTGCGTTCATAGTTCGCAGTCCACTTTGTGGGCATGGGTCTGAACTCCCACTTCTGACATTAAATGTGAAATTTATTTTTCTAATTCTTAGCCGTACTATCTTTTCAAACTCTGCATTAAAATAAATCATACTTTCTGGATTCAGCAAGAAGTCAGGATAGTGCCGGTCTGGCAGCACAGTTCAGGTCGATGGTCCACTCTTGTGGGCGGGTCTGAATCCCACTTCGACATGAATTGAAATGGTTACCTCTAATTTCTACGTACATAATCGTTCCTAAACCTGGATTTAAACTAACTATTATTTCTGGCTGCCGCTAAGAACGTTAGGCGTGCGGTTCAAGGCTGCCGTGTCTGGGCTGCAGTCCACTCTTTGTGGCGCGGGGTTCGAATCCCACCTCTGGCAGGAATATGAAATTCTTATTTTCCTTCAATTTCTAGTGGTGTAAATCTTTTAGCAATGTAAATCTGAACGAAGTAAATGA